ATCTGAACATCAAGGAGCCCTATGTGATAGTTTGCAACCACCAAGCTTCCCTTGACCTCATGAGTACGTGCAAGGGAGAGGGTGGGGCTCATCACTGCATGGGCAGCCTTTGGGGTGCTGCAGGGGTGGACCAGGCTCATCCTGGGGGCTCCCAGCGAGGAAAGCACCAGGATTTGTACAGGGCAGTGTGGGGAAGGCCGGAAGGGCTGGTGGGACAGGAGCTCATGGCTATGGATTTGCTGCAGAGAGAGGGTTGGGACAATGGAAGATGACACCAGGTCACTACAGCCACAGAGCTGGCTGGTTCTGGGTGCCGTTGGGCAGGGACGGACCCTTTCCTCTCCCATCCATCCTCCAGGCATGGTGGAGGTCATTCCTGAACGTTGTGTGCCCATCGCCAAGAAGGAGCTCATGTACATGGGCACTGTGGGGTGGGCCTGCTGGCTCAGCGGCATCATCTTCATCGACCGCCACAAAAGAGAAGATGCAATCGATGTCATCTGCCAGACAGCCAGGACCATGCGGCGTGAAAATGTGAGGGGGGCTGGCAGCAAACACCGATGGGCCAAGGAGGGTGAGGGGAGGACTGACACAGCGGGTGCTAGGGTGCTCTGGTTGGGTTTCACATCTCTCCCTGTCCTGTGCAGCTCCGAGTGTTCATTTTCCCTGAAGGCACCAGGAACCAGAACAAATCCATGCTGCCCTTCAAGCGCGGGGCTTTCCACTTGGCCGTGCAGGCTCAGGTAAGGCCATCTTCTCCCTCCACTTGCCCTTGATGGATTGGGGTGGCCATGCACCCTGGGGCAGCAGGACAGGGACACCAGGGTCTTCTGGGGTCTGCAGTCCCCAGGGACACCACCCTGCTGTGCAGGACCCAGGGAGGGGACAGGGACCTGCTGAAGCCTGGGGCACGGCAGGAGCTGGATTCCCACCCGGCAAGGGGGTCTGTATAGAGGACACTCCTGACCCTCCATCTCCTACAGGTTCCCATTTTCCCCATCGTGATCTCCCCATACTGGGACTTCTTCAGCTCCAAGGATAAGAAATTCACCTCTGGTAGGTGATGGACAAGAAGCCCCGTTGCTGGAAGGCAGGGCTGGTGGTGGGGATGGGGCATGTGGGGCTTGGAGGTGTGGGGAGGCAGCTGATGGTGGAGGATGCTGGTGGGAAGAGCTGGCTCCTGGTGGGTTTGGCTAACAGCCTCCTCAGCCTTCCCTTTCTCTCCCCAGGGACGTGCACCATCCAAATCCTCCCCAAGGTAGAAACCCAGGGCCTGAGCCCAAAGGATGTCCCCAGACTGACAGAGACTGTCCGCCAGGCCATGGCTGATGCCCTCGCTGAGATGTCTGCAAGTCCCTGCGGGGACCAGGGTGCTGAGCAGCCTCTGCTGCCGTGCTGCACTGGGGCTGGTGCTAGCAGGGGGACAGACAGCCTGGAGCGTGAGGAGGACATGACCGGGACCAGAAATTAGGCAGAGCCCCTTGGGGACATAAGGGAGGTGACACAGCCAGAGGCTGGGCCACCCTGTCCCCTGCGAATGTGTCCACCAGACCTGCCACCTCCTCAGCAAGGTGCAAGGGGAAGCAGAGGGATGGGGACCAGGCAGCACCTGGAAATCAGTGCAAGGTGCCCCCAGAAGCCCCTCGCTGTGACTGCATCCCCTCCCTGGGGCATCGCTTGTCCCCCCCAAACCCGGCGCTGTGTCTGACCCTGGGTACCAAGCCCCGTCTGCCTGGATGGCTCCCGCCTGCACGCTGGGTAGGGGGAGAGAAGTGCCAGGCAGGGCTGGGCGTTCACTGCACCATTTTCCACCCCTGATGGTGTGACTCGCACTGGGGTTCACTCGTGGGCTTGCTGGGTTGCTATTTCCAGAGGCTCCTGCAAGCTGGCGATGCCATTCAGACGCAGCCAGCGCTGGAGAGGGGTCCAGGGCACGGCGTGTGGATGGGGCGGGCAGGAGGTCCAGGGGATATTGCCATGGGTGAAGAGCATCCTTGATGATGAACTGTGAGACAAGGGTGCAAGATTAAATGGTCCATACCTGGTGGTGTGTGTGCACGGTGTCCTGCCAGTGCTGAGGGGAGTGTGGGGAGAGAGCTCCGTCTCATGGCTGTGTGGGATGCCCAGGTCACTGCACGTAGAGCATCCCTACGGACACCATGGCTTCTCCATGGGGCACAGTGCTGGATGGTGTGAGGAGCATGTGGCAGGTGAGAGTTACACCACGGTGGAGCTCTCTCTGCCATAGGGACGAGCAGTAAGTGCACAGAAGGAGCACCAGTAAAGCCCAGAAACCTCAGAGGGCAGAGCTGCCTGGATTTTGCCCACCTGGAGCAGGAGAGACCTCCCCACGGACTCCAGACCATGGCACAACCAGATCCAGCCACCAGCTACCATCACCCCTGGCCTGTTGCCTGCAGCCAGGCAGGGTTTTGGTCATCTGCTGGCTCCTTCCCAGCCCAGCAGCTCCCATCCCAGCCACTCCAGCCTGACAGTAGGGCAGGGAGAAGTGCACTGGGTGGCTGTCCCCAGTGCTGGGAGCAGGGTGGGCAGGCTTCACCTCTGATCTTCAATTAAGATGTGCAAACTGTGGCCAAACAAGGGCACAGCACTCCGGTTTGGCATGATTCCTGCTCTTGGGAGTGGCTGGCTCGTTCTGGAGGAAATTCTGCAAAACCATGGAAATCATCCACCTAGATGGATACCACTGGGAAAAAATATTAGCAACTGAAAAGAGGCTTCCCATGAGTAACAACTCACCGATCAGGAACTGTCACGTGGAGATAGTCAAGGGCAGTGCGCACATGTAGGATCCAATTTCCCAGAAAGCCCCTTTATCCCCTTTCCTCCTGCCAGGGCTTCCTACATGCGGCTTAGTCTGTCAACTCTGAGCTGGCTTGGCAGTCCCACCACGTGCCCATCACCGTGGGTGCGGTTTGGCTGCCCAAAAGCTTGAACCCAGCTGACTCTGATCCCGGTCTCACACGTGCTCTGTTCCTGGTTTTAAAGCCTCCAAAACCGATGTGAAGGCAAAGTGTAGCTGTCCCTCTGCTCCCAACCCCTTCGTACCCCACCAGACAGCCACGGTCCTGAGGGCTGGCAGCCTCTTCCCATCCCTTCGCCTGACCCGGCAGGGGCTTGGCGCAGGACGGTTGAGAGGAGCACTCCGAACCCCAGCCCTGCTCCGCAGCAGCCCTGCCATCCCGCGGGGGTCGGGGGCTGCCCGGGGAGCAGCCGCTTTGCTCCCCACTGTGGAGTTGTGGATTCCCTTGAGCTGGTGCCAGTGCAATCCCTCGGAGAGGGGACCAGGGGACCAGCGCAGGTGAGCTCACCCGGGGCTGACAAAAAGCCCTGGGAGATCGGTGCAAGCCTGGTGGCTGGGCATGGAGAGGATGCTCAGGGCTGACCCGAGTGCAGCTCTGTCCCTGTACCCGCTCAGCCGGGGGAAAAATGAAGAAAAATGCAAGTGGGATAAGGGAAGTGGAAGTGGCAAAATGTTTTTCTTGCAAGAAAGCTCCCTTTCGTCAGGCTCTTGCCCACCATCCCTGACCAAAGCCAGCCCCACGTCCCAGATCACACTTTGTGTTAGGGGCTCAGTGTTCCCCCTTAATGCTGTCTAAGAGGGGCCCTACCTTCACTTTGCTTTGCTGAATAAAAAACTGAGACCAAACCAGAGAAAACGTGCATTGCATGGGCAACAAGGCAGCAGAAGAAACAGAACACCGTGGGGTCAGTGCTGCCTGGTCAGGAGGGGCTGGGGGACAACTCGCTTTGGCTCCTGCTCCGACGCTACCAGCAGCACCGCAGGACAAATCCTCCGTGAGATATTTCACCTCGGCAGCCCCACAGGCACCGATCAGAGAAGAAAACCCCAAATCACCCTCCCCTCGGCCACGCTGCTCACGGCCCCCGCTGCATCCTGCCCCGTGCCCTGAAGGGCTCGGTGTGCCGATGGCCCCAGGCTCCTCGTCACGTTGAACCGTCCCTGAGATGCCTGCTGGGCCACTGACCCCTGCCCACATCCCGGGGCTGCAGGATGGGCTCTGGGCCACGTTCCTGCCTTGTGTCCACGGGGATGGCAGCGATCAGCCTCCTCCGGACACCGACACGCTGCGGGGCTGCTCCCAAAGGGCAGGGAGGTGAGCAAAGGGCCACATCCAGCAACACTGGAGCAGGGCAGGCATGGGGACAGCAGCCGTGGTGATCCAAGAGCCCGCGGGAAAGGGGTCAGCTCCAGCCCTGGCTTCTCGCAGCGCTGCTTCCGCCTCTCCCTATGTCCCCAGAGGGAAGGGGACTGCAGAACCCTGGAGCAGGGGATGATCTCAGGACACGGAGCTGCCTCAGCTTTCCTAAATCCCCACTGGGGCATAAAGAGGCAGCTCAGCCCACCCGGCCGGTGTCCGGCTCCCAGGCACACTACCTGGAGGAATGACAGTGGGTGGCACTGGCACAACAGCCCAACGCAGGCCTGCTCCTGTGCCCATAAGTGATGTGATGAAATTGGAGGAAACTGGGCAAAAAGACAGCCTGAGACCTGTGATCAGTCCACATAGATACTGTTTGCTTAAATTTTAAATACCTGGAAACAAGCCCTTCTGAGAAATCACCACCAACTCACAGACTGTTCTCATTTTGTGCTTCCTACTTCCATTTTGGGGAACTCGTTCCCCCTCCCTCCTGCCATCACTTCCCAGCAAATCAGTGTGTAGGTGGGTCCTGCCCCCTGGTTTTGAACCTCTATAGCCTATGGGAACCTTTCCTCGAATTGCAAAAATCCGCAAGAGCCTTGAACCCAGGAGGCTGTGGGCAGACGGTAAACATTGCCTTGGCTACATCTGCAGATCCCCGCTGGATCCCTCCGCCAACCCTTGTTTGCTCGCTGGATGGAAAGCAAAGATCTCATTTCAGAGCCTGCAGCAGAGCAGACGCAGGTCTACAGCAACCCAACACCTGGAGAAGGAGTCTGTGGCCATCCCTGACGTCTGCTTGAAGCTGCAGACATGAGGTCCCCAGCTGCCCTGCCCGCCCTGCTCCTCCTCATCCTGCACCTCACCGCCACGGCATCTGCAGCTCCGTAAGCCCTCTCTGCATCTGTCTGTCCACATCTGGTGGGAGGGCATTTAGTCTCGGCTCCTTGGCAGTGTGTTTTGGGAGCTAATCCTTCCTACGCATGGAATTGTTGGCCAGGGTGGAAATGCTTGGGCTGGTGGGTTGTCCCTGCCCATGAACACGAAGGGCTTGGCACCCGGGGGCTGGTGGGGCTGGTGGCTCTGGGAGGGTTTATTGTGGGTGCTGCCTCGTTTGCAGCCAATGTGTGAGCAGAGCCTTTGCTTTGCTGAGCTGAGCAGTCAAGGGGAGCCCAGAAGCAGAGCAGAGAGGCTGGGGAAGGTGGCCTTGCTCCCCAGTACAGGTTCCTGTGTGCCCAAGAGCTCTTCAAGACCTCTGTGGGGTCTGTACTGGGATGTGCCTCATCCCCACGCCTCTCACGTCAGGACTTCTCCTTGCCAGGATTTATGTGGTCACGTCCCCAGCTGTGCTCTACCACCCCTACACAGCAATGCTGTGGGTTCATCTCAGTGGCCTCCACGAGCCTGTCCAGATGACCGTCCAGCTGCAGAGAGCAGACCATAACATCACCCTGCTCGAGAGGAAGGTCCAGGAGCCTCATCTGTACCTGAACATCACCTTCCCCGTGAGTGTCACCCCACACACAGCCAACTGTGTGGAGCGGGATGCCCTGGACACCCCACTGTCTCCACGCAGAGCAGTTTCCACCAGCTCCCCTGAGTGTGGGGCTGTGGTCCCACGTGGGGCTGGGAACAGGTGTGACTTCCCCATCTTTTGGTAGGGTCTCACCCCCCACGCAGGCAAAATGACTCTAGACTAAGCCCAGTTATTCTATGGCTGAAATAATGCGCCGGTAGCAGACCTGCAGACTAAAGCAGGGTTTTGGGGGGACGTTTCTTCCCAGCCCCTGGCTTGGGGAAGGTGTGCCTGTGGGTCAGGAGTGCTCTGGGTCACCAGGACCAAGCAGAGCATCCTGGCCACGGCATATCCCTTGTCCTCACCCGGTGCCTGGTGTTTCCCCTGGCAGGCTCCAGCCCCTGCCAAAGGGAAGGAGGAAATCGTAGACCTGCACATCTCAATCCAGGGAGGTTCCCTGGATGTCTCCAAGAAGAAGAAGGTGATGCTGAGAGCCCTGGAGCCTGGGATGTTCATACAGACAGACAAGGCTGTCTACAAGCCTGGACAGGAAGGTGAGGGGGGTAGGGTGGACCACCCTGCTCTGGGCTGAAGGACCTGGTGGGAGAGGGGTACAGGAGGATCAGCCTTGCTCCTGTGCTGCATAGAAATAGGAGGGCTCATGCTGGGATGTACTGGGACCCCCAGCACTGGCCCAGGGCAATGCCAGGACACGCTGGCAGCACTGGGGGCTGTGCTGCTTGGGGGGCAGCGCCCCACTGCAGGGCTCAGGGTGGATTTCCATCCACCTTCCCCATGGGGAAGCCCCCTCCCTGCGGATGCACCCACCGCTCACTCCTGCATCCCCGCTTGCTCTTTCCAGTGAAGTTTCGAATCGTCTCTTTGGATAAAGACTTCACTCCCAGCAATAAGAAGGTGAGAGCAGGGCTGGGGAAGGGGGAGGCGACAGGGTTCCTCTGCACTGCCCTCTCACAGCCTCGGCACGCCCGGGAGAGAGGTGTGGGAGTCAGCCAGTGCCTTTCCCCTTGGGAATCTTGCCCCTGCCAGCTCTGCCTGGATGACTGCGCTCGCCAGGGGCAGGGATGACCTGTGTTGTTCACCCAGGCTTCAGCAGGCTAAGGAAAGAGAAAGCAGAATTGCACAAGTGACACAGGAACGTACCCACTTAAACTTTTGGTTAGGGATGTAGCAGTGACGGGTGGGAAGCAGGGAAAGTGCCACTGATATCCATCACGTCATCAGACGCCAGGATTACAGGCGAGATCAGTCTCTGGCACCCCCGAGCCATCATCTGGGCCTCTGGAAATGTAGGAGGTTGCCAGATGAAGTGGTTGCTGGCATCTTGCGAAGGCTCTGGGAGATCCCACCTCTCTATGCTGTGCTGGCAGCGCCCTCGGCTCATCCCAGCTAGAGCCACCCCCAGGCTCAAAATCAATCCCGAAGAAAATCGAAGGGTTGGAAGGTTCACAGCATCCTACAAACAACCCTCACTCTACTCCATCCATGGCTCCATAGTCCCCAACCTAGTGAGACCCCAAGGACAGCTTTGAATTTCTCATCTAACCATCTTCTCTTTGCCTTGCAGCTGCCCGTTGTGTTCCTGAAGGTCAGTCTGAGAGATGGAGGGAGGCTCCCGGGTGGTGTGGGCTTAGGAAGGCACCTTGGCTGGGACAGGAGAAGCGTAACGCAGCCGTGGGCTGTTTTATCGCTGAGTGCTGGGGTCCCCGGGGTGCTGACGCCGCGTGTCCCTGTGTGCAGGATCCCAGCGGGAACCGCATCGCACAGTGGCGGGACGTGAGCCCGCGGCAGGGCATCGTGGACCTGTCCCTCCCACTGGCTGCAGAGCCAGCCCTGGGCACGTACATCATCGAGGTGGAGCGGAAGAGCCACTCCTTCAGTGTGGAGGAATATGGTACGCGTGGACCGGGAGGTGCATGGGGATGGTGACCCACCTCGGCATGTCCCTGTGGGCAGCGCGTCTTGGGCCCCCTGGCCACCCAGGCACTGTTGTCCGTGTTCTGAAAGTGACAACCCTCTTTTCCCTTTGCTTCTCCATCAGTGCTGCCCAAGTTTGAGATGACCATCGATCTCCCCGACGTGGTGCTGGAGAAGGACAAGAAGTTCCAGATGGAGATTTGTGGACGGTGAGCCCGAAACAGGCTGTGCTTGGAAGAGGGAGGGGATGGGGGGGATCTGACATGGTGCAGTCCATCAGGTACACCCTCACCACCCTCCACCCAACAGGTACACCTATGGGAAGCCCGTCCAGGGGAAGGTCCAGGCCAGCTTGTGTCAGCCCTTCAGGAGCATCAGGATCCTCCACAGTCTTCACAGCACCCCCCAGAAAGAGATGAACTGCATCGAGGTTAGCGGGAAGGTGAGCACAGCTGGGGAGCGCGATGACTCTGGGACAGCCCCTTCCCGGGACTGCTGCTGACGGGGTTGACTCTCTCCCTCCAGACTGAGAAGAATGGCTGCTTTTCAACAGAGGTTTTGTTGGCTGCCTTCAACTTGACCAGCCCCAGGTATGAGAAGAAATTCCAAGTCCAGGCATCGCTGGTGGAGGATGGAACAGGTAGGGATGGTGGTGTTCTCCTGCTTGGGAATGGGCATTGCTGCTGGTGCATAGTTTTGCCTTCATCCCCACGTGCACTCAAATGCATGGGGGTATTGGTCTTCTCTGAGGAAGCCCCAAAAGCAACGCTGCGATTTAGGGGTGCATGTGTGGAGGGACCGGGTCCAGGTGGGTATGTGAGCCAGGTCAGCCAGGCAATACCTCTCATTCTGACCAGAGAAATGGTCAGGAGGCAAAAACACCTTTCCTAGATCCAGCAGCTCTCCCAACGCCATGGCTAGCAGGTTCTCAAGTCCTTGCAATGCAAAAGCGGTGGCTGCACCCACTCTGGTGGCCTGGCTTCATCCTTTGAGCGAATCTCTCACGCTCCACCTCGGTCACACCAGAAATGACTGCCAGTGGCTTGGCTTCAGAAAAAAAATGAGAAGACCAGGGGTTGTCCCTTGGTCCACTGGACTGAGGTGGCCCTGCAACATGGTGCTTTGGTGAAGAGCCTTTTCTGCAGCCTCTGCAGCCAGCTGCACCCTGGTTTTAGGTCTAAAACGTGCCGTAGAGGTTTTGCTCCTCTCGTAGGACGTGCAAACTGTGCTTGAAGCTGCCAGCTGCAGAGGGAAAGCCTAAAACCTTCAGGGACCTTTTCTGCACCGTGACAGGGGAGCCGGCAGCAGCTAATCTGTGCCCTGTGTCCCCACAACACCCTCAGCTCCCCACTCCCTCTCCACAGGGCTGGAGCTTAAAAACACCAAGAGCTGCAAGATTTTATCCGAAATCCTCACTGTCACTTTCGAAAACACCGATGATTTCTACAAGCCTGGCATCCCCTACACTGGGACGGTAATGGAGGGGGGTCCCCACACCCCACAGGGCTCCCCTGAACCCTGCTGCACCTTGTCCTGCTCCTGCTGACCCCCCAGCCCTGTTGTCCCACCCCTGCCCTCTGCCCCATGCCTACAGCCCGACCTGGGGCATCTCCCCCTCCCTCCCAGTGCAGATGCTGCTGAAGGGAGCCGACGGTGCCGTGCTGCCGCAGAAGCAGCTCTTGCTCATCGTCAGCCAGCAAGGAAAAGATACAAGACAGACCTTCCTGACAGACAGATCGGGGAGAGCCTCCTTCGAGCTGGAGACCTCTGGTTGGAGCGGCAGGGTCTCCCTGCGTGTGAGTGACCCGTTTCCCACCCCTCAGGGCTCCCAGTAGTACAGGGCTCGGCATCTCTCCAAGCCCGCATCAGTGATGCCTGGTGCTGGGACCAGCACCTCATGGGCTGCTGGATGGCTTCACCACCCTGATTTCTACTTCCATCGCTCAGGGTCAAGTCAATGAGACAGCTCACACCCAGAACGACGGCTCAACAGTCACCTACCAAAATGCCTACGCGTACCTCAGTCGCTTCTTTTCGGCGAGCAGCAGCTTCCTGCGGATCCGCCGGCTGGAGGAGGAGCTGTCCTGTGGCCAGTCCCAGAAGCTCTGGGTTGACTACATCTTCAGCAAAGAAGCTTTGGGGACTGACCTGGAGAGCCTGGATATGGTCTTCCTGGTGAGCCGTGGCCCAGGGAGCGAGGGCAGCAGGCATTAGGGCGGTTGTGTGTGAAGGTCCACATCTACACACACGTTCACAGTCGCGTCCCTGAGGACAAGACAATGAGCAATCTGTCCTGGCCAGACTGAGGAACCTACACTTGTTAGTAGAGGCGTCTGCTGGTACTGTTGGACCCACATGCCAATGGGAGATGTTGGTGGGGCTGGAGACTGGGCAAGGTCAAAAACCATCCCAATATTCTCACCTTTGGGTCCATCCTCCATCAGGGCATTTCCACACTCAGTATCAGTTTTGTTATTCCCTTCTCCTCCTCTGCAGGTCCTGGCCAAGGGGACCATTGCCACCATCCTCAGGAAAGAGCTGCCTGCAGAGGCTGGTAGGTCCCAAAGCATGGACAGGGTGTGCAGGGCTCTGCTCTCCATGCCCAGTCCTCATCTCCTCTCCTTTCCCATGGCCCAGGGCTGAGAGGCTCTTTCTTCTTGGAGCTGCACATCGACCCCGAGCTGGCACCCACGGCCAAGGTGCTGGGCTATGTGGTGCTGCCCAACAGTGAGATGGTGGCCGACAGCACCAAGCTCAAGGTGGCCAAGTGCTTCCCCAACAAGGCGAGTGGAGGCTGCTAGAGATGGGGGAATTCTCCATGGCTTGTCCATAGCTGCATGCCTGAGGTCCATCCTGCTCCAGATGCATCGCAGCATCACAGTCTCTTTAACCCATTACCTAATCCCGAAACCCTCGAGCCTGATTTTATCCTTATCTAGAAGAGATCTCCACATCCATGTCTTGGTCCTGCTCCTCCGTGGGAGGTGGCTCCCCCTCCCGTGCTTGTCCCCTGACGCCCCTGTCCCTCCCCAGGTGAAGATGGCTTTTTCGGAGGACAGGGCTCTGCCCGGCTCGGCGCGGCGGCTGGAGCTGGGGGCTGCCCCAGGGTCTCTGTGCGCCGTCCGTGCCGTG